TCATTAAACGCATCCACTGTTTGACTCAATACTTTTTTAGGCTCACTTCATAAGTGCGCGCTTGATACATACACGCATCTGTCAAACAGCGAAGCGTCTTTACGTGGCAAATATTCTTTTGACCAACAAATTCTGAAAATGCGATAATGTTCTAATTAGAATTCAGACTTACATATTTCTGTCTAGTTTAAATTACCACCAAAATCTCGTGTTGTGTTTAGTTTCGTCGATTTGTATCGCGATAACCGCTGTAATCGGATTGAAATAGACGTCGTTGTAGCAAAAGGTATGTTAAATTGATACAATTTGCATTGCAATGCAATTGCACACTTTTTTTTGTTGTGAAAAATCATTTCCTGGTCATTTTTTAGACATAGAAGTGTATAATTTGCCGCAAATTTGCGTAAAAAACAATTCCATAAGCGATCAATTGACGTCAATTGTGTGTTTTTGCCTATTTTCAGAGATTTCACCAGAGTGACTGATTGCTACACTGCTACAGGCTACTTTAACCTCAACAAGATATCCGTTCCCAACTCGACACGAAATTCGTAGTGTAAGTAATAAATTCTGTCATACAAATGCATTGAATCGATTGAAATATGCCTTAATTTGATTGGTTCTCATTCATCAATGGTGGAAATGTAATTAATCGCTCGAATCAATGGTCATTTTCAGGTATTGACATCGGAGAAGTTGTACACATTTAACCGTCAACATGCTTCCAAAGAAAGAAGCCAAGAGAATCAGTTCTTTTGAACAAATCTTGAACGATGGAGCCAAGAGGCCAAAAACTGCCGATGAAAAAACCGAAGAAGAGACCCACAATGGAATTCCCATGGATAGTGTTAAAAGTTTGTATTTGGACGATTCAACGGCCGATGTGAACTTTGTGTTCGAATCAGAAGACGTTCGTGTGCCAGCTCACAAAGCAATGTTAGCAGCAGCAAGTGACGTTTTCACGAAGATGTTCTACGGTGATCTACCTGAGGAAGGAGATGTGAAAATCGTTGACACCACAGCAAAGGCGTTCAAGGTGTTCTTGCAATTCTTCTACTTGTCCAAGGTAAAATCACGTGAAGAAAACGCCGCAGAAGTCATGGCGCTTGGACATAAGTACAACGTCGCAAGATGCACTCAAATTTGCGTGGATTTGCTGAAAAAGCGGCTTCACATCGATAACGTATGCCACAGTTTGAGCCTTGCCATTTTATTCGATCTGGATGAGTTGAAACAATCCTGCGAGGAGATGATTGCACGGAACACGATGGCTGTGTTCAAATCACATAACTTCTTGGAAAGTTCCAAATCTGTGTTGGCCAAAATTTTGGGAATGGATATATTGAAATGTCGGGAAAAAGATGTTTTCGAGGCATGCATGGCGTGGACCAAGTACACAAGCAAACAGAATGATTTGACCAAAGAGATTGTTGAAGCCCACCTTGGTTCATCATTTTATAAAATTCGATTTAGATCAATGACAATCAAGGAATTCGGTGCATTGAGCCTTGTGTATGGTGCCATATTTTCGCTAGACCAATACAAAGAAATCGTACACATGATTTCATGCCCAGGATTCAAACCAACATTGTTCAATAACAATTTTCGTTATGCACGCCAATTTGTAAATGTCCTTGAATCATCAGAATATGAATCTGATGAATTAGATTATTAAATTGAAAACAAGATTAAAATGCATACGAAATAAGAAAAAAATAGCTCAATTTCTCATATAATCAGATTGAAAGAAGAAGAAAAATAAACACACTCTTGCTTATTCATTCCAAGTTGGAATTTCCAACCCATCCATTTTTGCTGAAATATGATGATCAAAATAATTTTCTTAATAAAATTCATCTACCAACTAATTTGTGAAAGTGTTTGTTGTTTACTTGTTTTCATCGAAACCTCCCAATATTCACGCATAGTTTTTTGAATCATTTATTTGGAATATACATCCATTGAGTGTCTCCTTTTTCAGTGAATTGTCTCCTGTGATTTGGATCATGTGGCCTAGTGTTTATTCACAATTATAGCAATACTCAACAGTTTGTGACCACCTGAAAGTCCATCGTTTGTATGAATTCTCATCTTTTTCAACTCAAAATCTGTTTTGAATATGAAAACTGATTTCATCCTGATGAATGGGTTTGTATGCTGAGTTTGGCCAGCTTACGACCATTTTAACCCATCTGATTCGGCTGGCAAAAATTTAGATTTTGAACGAGACAGGTTTTTTTAGGTTTCCAACATTAGAATTAGAAAGCTATTTAAATCACAGAGAAGATCTTCAGAAGAACATATTGTTTTCATCATCGAGTATCGAAATCTGCTGACAACCGATCAAGACATAGCCATTCAAATAAATTATGACTCTATTTCTTTTTAAGGAAGAGACGAAAAATAGGAACAAAGCATTTTCATATGATCCCAAACTTTTGAGCGTTAGTGTACACTGAACAGTGTACACCCATGACAGACAGTGTTTATTCTACCGTTCAACGCATACATACACACAGAGGACGGAACATTTCGTACAAACGTCAAAAATATAGCGCCATTCTGTGACAGATGCATCTCTGCACAACATTGTTACATTCACATTAGAAGTTCGTTTCGTTTTTTTCATTGTTTTGTTTCGCTCACCGAAGTTTTCATTTGTTTTTATTGATCTGTCTAGAAAGGAGTGGTGTAATTGGCTGTATGCTATCAATCTAACATATTCTGATTGGCATTGGAAAGAAAAAGTATGTAAATTGATGACAAACACACACTGGATATATCAAAGTGCTTTTTACGATATTATTTCATGTTATTCTAGCCACTTTGAAAAAAAGTCACCTCTTCTGGTGACCAAGGATTTTGTTGATACCCAATCTACCACGGAAATAAGAAAATTTATTGATATTCTGTTGTTTTTCCAACTTTTCTTAGCATTGAATTGATAGCCAACTGACCAGTTGTTTTTAACCTCAATCCGAAGACGTCTCCCGAAAGGTGTAAACATTGTTTGGTAAACCAAATTGAAGCCGATTCTTGTCGTCTATTGTGAAGTGTAAACAAAGGCTCAACTCTACAGCAACGAGCTCAATTCGACTCATTTCCACAGCCAAATCAGGTGATTGTAAAGAAACTCCTTGCAAACAAATCAATAGATCCAATGGCCAATTGCTAAAATTTCCTCTTATTTTTCTGAACTCTAGCATCATGCAATCCAAATCAGACACAACAAACACATCGCCCGGAATCGAGTTAATTTCGATATCGATGGTCAACACATCGAATGGCCTGGTCAGAACGTATGACAATTGTGTGGTTTCATCGAGTATTGAAAATCTGTATCTTGACGCCGGAACGGCCGATGTAAATTTCGTGTTTGGTTCAAGTGGCGACGATGGTGAACGTGTTCCTGCCCATAAAAATCTGTTGTCAATCACAAGTGATGTATTCCGAGCGATGTTCTATGGTGAATGGAAGGTGTCAGGTGACATCCATATGAATACCGGTCACAAGGAGTTTCTACAAACGGCGCCGGCTTTCAAAGAGTTCTTACAGTATTTCTACTTGAAAAGTGTGACGCTCACCGCTGGTAATGTAGCTGAAGTGATGGGCCTTGGTCATCGATACAACGTGGCCAATTGTTTCAAAGCTTGTCTTGAGTTTATCAGCGACAGTCTCAGCATCGATAATGTGTGCATTGGCTATGCTTTGGCCATACTCTATGAACAAACCGAGCTGAAAATGCGTTGCGAACGAATGATCATATTGAACACAAGCGCCGTATTCCATTCGAACAGTTTTTT